TTTTTCCCGTCTAAGCCACTAAAACACAATATAATTTTTTAAAAATTAAACTTAAAAACAAATTTAATTAACTTTCTAAAATCATTAAAAAAATTCTCGAGTTTGCCTTGTTTTAATAAAATTAATATAATTTCGGAAATACTTTACATGTTTTAATGTTCTTTGGATAAAGCTGAAATAAGCATTCAGTTTATTTTTAAAAAATTAATGTTTTTGTTTTAAAAAAAGAATATTTAACCCTCACAGTCTCGAGATGGGGTCCCTCGGACCTGGAGGAAAGTTTTTGTTATCTATTTCCGGTTAAGAAAGTATTATTAGACAATCAACTTCACATTAGGCTTTGGAACGTAAAAACATATATTTTTCACCTTTGTAAACAATTTTTTATTTATAAAATACTCTGGAAAATTACCTTTTAAGTCGAACATACGTAAAAGATCAAGCTTATGAAGGTTATGAATAAACATAAAAACTAAAAAGTTAGCAATTTTTATGCAATATTGCATTATTTTGTGGTGTCTTAACATCACCTGCTGTAATAAGTGTAAACGTATTCTAAATACATATTTCCAAAAGTGACATAATGCGAAAAATACAGTGTGTTATACGTATTTTGGAAAATTCGATTCTCAAAAGTTAATAAACAGAAAATCGATCAGATTTTCTTTAAAATTGGTACTCGGGGGTTTTTGGGGTCGCTGATTACAAATATGAATTAAAAAATTCAAAATGGCGGATTCAATATGGCAGCCGTTAAAAATTTTAATACCGTCCCTCGGACCCACCTTGTGCGCGCAGTGGCAGTCGAAAAAACGAGCTCGAGCCCGTGAGGGTTAACATTAAAATTTACAAGTAAATATGTAAATAAAAAAGCCAAATATGACTTACTTTTAGGTGTGAGCCTAACTTAAATTCTTAGCCAAGCTAAAACGAAAATTGTGTCTTTTTTCAAAACATTCATAAAATAAAAAAATTTCAGTTTTATTTTGATACAAAAAACTAATCAAAATTTTTAAAATTTAATTAGTTCTAGGACTTTATAAAAAACCCGGTTTAATAGCCTACTCTTCCTTAAATGAAATAAAAATGTTTCTTCAATAAGCACTGCTATTTATACTCCTAGGTGTTGTTTTTTGAAATAAGGGTAGTTTTAGGGAGAAGAAAATGTTAATAATTTTTGTTTCTTTATTCTAGACCCATATAATTAATTAAAACCAATAACAGTTCTGTTTATTGTACTACAAGAAAAAGATTTTGTTGTCTTTAAAAATATAAATAAAAACAAAAAAATTGTTCAAACTAAAAAAATATTTTAAATGTGATTCTTCACGTTTTCGACCTAATGTCCTAATTCCAATAGTTGGTTCGCGACAGTATTTATTAGTACGCCCATGGGCATTAATGGGGGAAAGTGCACATATTATGAGATAAGTTTTTTCAGTTTAAAGTGTACTATGTTTATTTAAAACAAAGCTTAATGGAATATGTACATTTTTTTTTAGGTCTTTTATTATAAATATTTAAAAAACTTTTTTGCCTATATTAGTACATATTTGGAGAATAAAAATAATGTTTTTTTAATTTTTATTTAATATGATAATCTGCAGACAGCATTCAGATCGAAACTCCAAAAAGTTAGTTGTCCAATTGCGAACAGTTTATCTCAAGATTGACAAATCGGAAACAAAAAATCCAAGTTGCTTTTTAAAAAGGAAGGACGCATAGAAATCCACCACCATTAATGAAAAATGGACTAAAATAAATAAATAGCAGATGTTTCAATAATTTTTGTCAAAATACACTATGTTTTTCAGTATTTTTCTAGTCTGCAAAAATGTCTTTTTTAAATTTTTTGACCATTTTCTGGTGAATTATCACACAGGACATGCTAACAAACAAAACGAGTTATTATTTATTAAAATCGGTTTAGTAGATTCAGAGATAAACTGTCCGCAATTTGAGAAAACGTTATTTTGAGAAAAACGCGTTTAAACCTTATATGTATCGTTAGAGGCCATCCATAAATTACCTAAAATTCTTTTGAAAATTGAAACCCCACCACTTTTTTATGTCAGACACTGTTACATACATTAGCACCAATGTTTCTACTGGTCGTAACAAAAGGCTGGACCCCATCATCCCCTTAAAGACTAACTTAATTTGTCAATAACTTTTTACATTAATTGAATATTTTTCGAAAAATTCTCTTTTATTTTTTACAATTGGTTATAAATACTTTAGGAGGTGTTTTCTGAAGTCATGAGGAGTTAAAAAATACAATAAAAAAATAACATTTTTTTTAAATTCTAAAGTGTAGTAAGGGGATCCCACTTATCGACATTGCAGATCTAAAATGGTTAAAAATTTGCAACGACCGTTTCTTGGAAAATATAAGATATTATTACCTATTTTGGAAAACTCATTTTTTATCATAAATACACAGGATGAGTATTTTATTTGTTGTAATTATTTGAAAAAAATTATTGTTAGAAAGTTAAATATGGGCAGTTCCCCTGTAACAAATCTTTGACTACTAGCTCAAACTGCAACGACCATTTCTCGAAAACAACGAAACAAAATAATTTTTCCATTTGGGAAATTTAATTTTGTAGGAAAATACGAAGGATGAGACTCATTTGCCATGCAGAAATAAATAAAAACTTTATTTTTTGTAAAGTGTATAGGGTAACTGTACCAATTGTCGAGGGTTTTAGGCAACATGTGACTTTGACATTTTTTTTCTCGGAAGTAAATGCACTTTAAAATTTGATTTTTGTATATTTGGACGAAAAATCTAATAATGTTTAATATTCATATTTATTTTTTTAATATAAACTAAATTGTTAAGCAAAAAATATATTTAAAAGTCAATCGAGCAAAAGCACCATTTGTCGATGGTCTTGTGCTAATTTCTCGAGGGTCTGTTTTAATTGTCGAGGGTATGACATTTTTAAACATATAACCCAATATAACCTAACAATTAACCTGTACAGATATTAGAAAATCGAGTAGATATTTATTTTTTCGATAAAAATATTATAGAACATTACCAGAAAACAAATATATTTATTTAACTATAATTGAATAATTTATAATATCGATATAAAACATTTTTATAGTAGATGATACAGGACAGAAAATTATTTAACTGTTTTTTAAACTTTTATAAATATAAGTTAATTAAATTTAATCAATTTTGTTAATCAGACATTAATTGAAAAAATAAATTAATTTAAGTCACATTAAATTTGTAAACGAATAAAATAAACTTTTATTACGAACTGTAAATATAATGGTTAATTATAATTAAACTATAGTACAAAATTTTTTAGTTTTAAATAATGCATTTTTTTATTAATTTTTTTTCGGTCTTCCTCGTTTTTTTGGTTGATTATTTTCTGTTGGTTGTAAATTTTTGGAGCATTTTTTTTCTTTTTCTCTGTACCTATAAATGTTTGGCATTTATGTTTGACGTTTAGTAAATAAACACTTAACCATGGATAAATGGTGCATCAGCGAAAAAAGTGACTACACCAATTTTCGAGTCATTACCTCGAAAAATGGAACTGTCAAAAAAAGGAACCAAATACCGATGATTTGCTTTTAAAAAATATGAAATATTTTTTTTAACAAAAAAACATGCATACAAAATTAATTTAGTTCGTGTACAAAATTATAATAATAATTTTGTACACAAAAAGTCATTATAAATACGTTTAATTTGCATTTCTAAAAATCTGTTTTAATCAACCTGAAGTATTAAGAAAATGGAGATTCGTGTAAATTTCACAGCAGTGAATTATATTATTAATTAAATAATTATTTTATTAGAATCGCTACGAAATTTGTATATATAAATATACAGTTGAAAATCCAAAGATTATTTAGAAATTTTTTTTGTTCTTAAATATTATATATTATACTATTTATCTAAAAAAGAAAATTATTATCCTCGACAATTGGAGCACCCTCGGCAATTGGTGCAGTTACCCTATGTGACAGTTGTTCGGTGACACATGATATTTAATTTACTAACATTAATTTTTCTTTAACAATTTGAACAAAATAAATGTCTCACATTGTGTATCTTTCATCACTAATGAATTTCCACTCGAAAAGAAGACATTATATTTTATTGTTGTTAATTTAAAGTTAAAAATGATCAAAATTTGTCACTTTTTGAACCTTTGGCGCCATCTCTTGGTTCTATAAACTACTAAACATCTGTCACATGTGTTCTTGTTGCAAATTTATATACAAAACAGTTTACATAAATTAAAGTTTTTTATTGTTGTTTTCAAATATGAAATGAATCTTATTATGTGTATTTTTTATTAAAATTAAGTTAGCCAAATGGAAAAATTATTTTGTTTTGTTGTTTTCAAGAAAAGGTCGGTGCAGTTTGGGCTCTTGGAAACTGCCCATATTTAATTTTCTAACAATATATTTTTTTTTAATAAATACAACAAATAAAATACTCATCCTATGTATTTATGATAAAAAATGACTTTCCCAAATTTATAGGTCATAATATCTTATATTTTTCAAGAAACGGTCGTTGCAGATTTTTAACCATTTTTGATCTGCATTGTCGATATGTGGGATCCCCTTAAGGGGATGTCAAAGTCGATTGGATTTTTGCATTGAGCTTCAATGGGAAAATCGCATCGACTTTGACATCCCCTTAAGGCGATGTCAAAGTCGATGCGATTTTCCCATTGAAGCTCAATGCAAAAATCCAATCCACTTTGACACCGCCTTAAGAGACCGAGGGGACACAATTTTGCGCCCATGGCGAAGTCGAGGGAGACTTGAAATTACAGTGTGGATATAAAGAATAACTGAAACAATTTCCTATTATCAAATTGTGAATTTCATAATTTCAATAACATAATTAAAATAAAAATTTTTCTTATGAAGTTTCATTGTTTGCCAATATTATTAGAACTAATATTTTTTTGTGTTTAGAAGTAAATAGAAATAAGAAATATATTTTTCAGTTTTTACTTATCGAAGGTGCTGAGATACCACAGATTGGGACCAAGCCGTACAAAATGAAGGAAACAATAAAACCAGTATCGCCAACGAGAATCTACAGCCCAACGAAGAATTTGTTGAGCACCAATAGTTTAAACTACAACAATGGTAACAGCACTTTTATCTTGTACGACACTACCAGTGAATCCGCAAGGGGTAATTACCGATTCTTTTTGTAAAAGGTGTTTACCCTTGAGATTGTTCATAAGTAGAGATCGTGTTTATAGTTTTCCTTTTTCTATTTGATAAGAAGCAAAGAATTGTAGTGAATTCAAAAAAATGAATGGGCGAATACATTTTGTCCAACGCCTGCAGTGGAATTGCAATATTATAAGCAACATGGAGAAAAATCCTTTTTAATGATTACAATAGTCTACATTACAGCTCGGATATGTGACCACTTTTTGGAATGGTTACGAAGACTATGTAATGTGTTAAGAATTGAGTAGGAACGATTACTATAGCTGTTGTAAGGGATACCTTCATGTTTGTACTCCTTACAACAGCTATAGTAATCATCACAAAAAGTGGTCACATATCCGAACAGTAATATAGACTATTGTAATAATTATGAATAAATTTTTCTCCGTGTAGGCACCAGTGGAGAAATGAGTTTATCTGTGAGAAAAATGGAGTTTTTTGTTTATTATAATTTATTTCTCTAATTCTACTCTTTTCCAATTAGAATCACGGTAAACTGAAATAATCCATTTTGGTGTTATAGGCCAGTCGTTGGGTCAAGAAAATGCGAACCACAAAGTCTCAGTGGTTTCTCGTAGTCTGGGGGCCCCATATAAGAACCCCGCAGTTTGTTCTTGATTTCCGTTTGCGGAACATGTTATAAACAATAGTCAAAGTTTGAAAAACGTGGTTTTTCAATAACCGTTGCTACCGGTCAGATTTTAGGGGGAAAAGTTGATATTGAAAGTTGTCGACCATGAAAATAGTTTTTAAATAACGGGTATTATGTTAAAAAGTTTTTCATTTCATGACCATTTAGCTTCCTCAATATAGTATATAGGGGAGGATGGGGCAGGGACAGTTTGTGACTGTATTGCTTAAACAGCTTGTTCAAATCAGCGCGTCATTCATGATATTTTCGCGTCTTAACACCAAAAGATGATACTAAAAATTGGAAGTCAATCTGCCACTATTTGCGAAGTTAGGAGTTTATTTTTAAAAAACACCTGTTTTTGAAAAATGTCAACGGAATCTTTGTCACATTTTATCATATTGTTTTCTTTATTAGTGCTTACGAATATTTATTTACGTAAGTGTTTTCCGGAGTGGAATTTCCTACTGAAAACGAATATTGTATTTATTTTCAATTAAATTCACGTCGTTTCACAAAAAATTAGGAAAAATATAACATTCGGATTCTTTAACTACACTGTAAAAAAAGGGAGTTAAATTTTAACTCCCCAGGGGATTCTATAAAAGTCGCACCTATTGGGGAGTTAATGCCAGGGGAGTTAAATAAAGAGAGTTAAAACTTCACACCCAAATGCTAACTCCCCAAGGAAAAAATAACTCGCGCACTGAGAAAATATTTTGTCAAAGTTGGTTAAAATGGCTACACATGGGCATTTTGAAAATCTTTATAAATAAGATCAGACTTTTGTCTGTACATTGCATAGAATTTGAAAATTCATGTTTAGTTTTTCTATTCGAGTAGTAAGAATTCCAAAAATGACAATAAAAAAATTATGTATGTATGTCCGCAATATTTTGTCCGGGATAAACACAAAGACTACTTGACCGATTAAAACGAAACTTTACAGTCTCTTTGGTCTTAGTCTAACTTAAATTTATAGCCATATCCGATTGAAAAATAATAAGCTGAACGAAAGTTATAGCTTTTTTCACAAAATTCAAATAATCAGAAAAATGTAATTTTTTAAATTTTTTGTCAAATTCATGTGACACTTTCTGTAGCTACTTTTTAATATAAATACAACTAATTTTCACTATAAAAATGAAATATAAATAATATATCCGAATTTTTAAGCCAGAATCATATTTTTGATTTTCGACAACATTTTTAATTAATTTTTTTGTTAAATACTGTTTAATTTTTATTAAGTTGGTAGTCATATTGGTTGATGTTTTTAAATTTTAAATTACATTCACTACACTTATTTTATTAAAAAGTTTAGAGTCATAAATTTGATGTCGATTACAAATTTTCTAAAATCAATGAACGTGAGTTTGCAAACAATTTCTATATTGATATTTTCATGTTTTAAGTTTGAAAATTTCATAGTGTGTATTGTCATATTTAACGTAGAAAATAAAATATATATGTATGTTCAATATAAAGGATATACAGAAAAGTATCAATAATACTGAAATTTAACTTCAGCGGGCACTGGGACATAGAAAGTCCTTAAGACGCCATTAGGGCAAATTGGGATTTATGAATCAAAATTTTCTTATTTTTGAATTCTAGAAATGTTTTAGAAATCACTTTGAAAATAAATAAAAAATTCCTATTTATGAATTAAAATTGTTCTTCTTGAATTTTAGAAATGTTTGGGGTATGTTGTTCCTTTCTAAAATTCTATCCGGGCATTACGCAAAAACGGATAAAATGTAAAATCCCATGTGGAAATTTTCAAGAGGGATATGGAAAAATTATACCATACAGTTTTACATGGGAATCCATATACTTTCCTTTATAAAAGTGGATCCCATGTAGATTTCCCATGTGGGAATCAAAAACGTGTTATAGTTTCTACTAATACATTTAACAGAGTGTCTATTAACCGCGAAGGAAACCCGACAAAAAATCGGGAATTTTCTTATCTAATTAAAAAAAGTTTTATTATATTAATTCGTTTTAAAAAAATTGTTTTTTGCTTTAATTATTATTGATGTAATATTTTTATTTGTCAAAATTTAAGACCAACTTTCAGCTTACAATATAGGTCTTATTTTAGATTTTAGCAGTCGTAACGTGGGGCCTACTTGCGATACAATTAGTTCGAATTAGACTCTACATAACTCCAAAAGCTGGTGGAAAATTAGTATTAATTATTAATGCATTAATTGAAATACTAGAAACGCATAAAGAACTACAATTGACAAATACTGTTCTATAAATCTGAATTAGTTAAAAATAGTATTTGATAGAAAAAGTCATTTACTGATTCAAATGGTAATATTTTTCTAATGAAATAGTTAATGGTAACTAATTATTAGTTTTTTTAGTCAAATTAAATACCCAATTGGTAGACACCTGTTCAAATATATTAGTAGAAACTAAAACACGTCAAAGACGGGTACGACTGCTATTGTTTAATATTTTCTTATGTGGTTATTGAAATACATTTTTGAAAGAGTGTTCAATAAGTAATGTAAAGATAATTAGATCATTTATCATAAATTGATTTACTTTCTGTAACACTTTATGCTGTACTTGGTTATATAGTTGCCTGCGTGTGTCACAGTTCGCCCAAAAGTTAGGTAAACTGATGGTTCCACTAGGTAACTATACTGTCAAGAGGTCAGGACCTTCATTTTACCCAACTTTTGGGCAAACTGTGACACACGCAGGCAACTATGTAACCAAGTACAGCATAAAGTGTTACAAAAAGTAAATCAATTTATGATCATTGATCTAATGACCTTTACATTACTTATTGAACACTCTTTTAAAAATGTATTTCAATAACCACATAAGAAAATATTAAACATTTTCAGAATGCCCATGTGTAGCCATTTTAACCAATTTTGACAAAAATTTAAACAAAACATTTTCTCAGTGCGCGGGTGTTGAATGAAGGGAGTTAGAAATTAACTCTCTTTTGGAGTTGATTTTTAACTCGAAAAATTTCACTCCCAACTCCTGAGTCCGTTAACTCCCTAAATTTTTTACAGTGAAAATTGCCCGGTGCCCTTGCCCCGGTGCTGGGGCAAGGATAGTTAAAAATTTTTGTTTACTTTTTCATTCGTATTTCGTAGGGATTTGAGTCTACAGTAAAATAATGTATAGCAAAATTATGGCCAAATAACCAGGGTTTCAAAAAATACTTTTCGTTTGCAGATACATATTCAAGTTTGGCCGCTAGATCCGAAAAGGTATTACCTAACTATCCTTGCCCCATCCTCCCCTACTAATTCCGTCATTTATTATTATAGAATAATTATTTTAAAGTGTTAAAGTAAAACTTCACAAAATACAAAATTTGAATTTTTTGTTAAAAATAGAAATAGCGATTAATTTTATAAATTTTGATAAAATGTATACTTTATATAGTTGGTTTTTCTGAAACTGATACTTTTGAACTTCAATTTTTCAATTTATTTTTTTTTAATTTTATGGGGTATTCTCCGTGAAACTTTTACTCAAAATTTTTTTTTGGTTATAACAATTTTTCTCAAATTCTATACGAAAAATAAGTAAATACCTGTTTTTTTATTTCTTTATTTGATAAAAATTACGGAAGTTATGATTTTTTTAAATTTAACGTCTTCAGAAGCAGAGGACTTTTGAAACGAATTTTTCTCTATTATACCAAAAGATAAAAAATAATATAATATATGAAAATTATTTGTTTTTTCTTGAATATTTTAAATATATAATAAAAAATAACATTAATTAAGCAGAAATATTAAATAAATTGGAATTTCGTCTAAAAAGTGATTTTTCTCAAAACCGAAGCAATGAATTTTCGATTTTTTTCTTTTATTACAATTACTGATAAATAAAGAAATTTTTCTAACTAATGACAAAGTGGTGTTCTTTTGGGTTTAAATAATATTTTTAAATTATGTCAGTCGTTCTACAGAATTTAGAAAATGAAATTGGGAAATTAACCACTTTTAAGCTCCATTTCATTAGTGAGGCATTAGTTTTGTATTGTAATTGAAGGTTAATTTTTAAAAAAGTAAAACGTTAAAATAAAGATAAATAATATGGTTATAAATAAAAAAAACCATATGGTTTATAATAAAGATAAATTGGAAGAAATTTATAAAAATCATATCGCAAATAAAGAAATTTCGAGAAAAGTAAAAGAAGAACAGAAAACTATGGTTAAAAACGAAAAAACGGCTAGTATGATTTTCTTTGATTTTCATAAGGTTTTAACAACACCGAAGACAGAAGTAGCGAGTTGTTTGCTTCATTATATTAAATATCATTTCACGCGAGT